ATTTTCGAAACATCAACTAAATATTTATCTCCAAATAATTACCTCCAAATATCTTACAAGTTGACAATATTTATATCTAACTTACCCTGCAAGAGAATCTGATGTAGGATGGAGCTGCATCGTTAGCTCACCTAACTTGTTAAAGGCTACTCCAGCTGCAGCAAAGATCTCACCCACCTAAACATGAATAATTTTTAATCTAAATATGTTATATGTATTCATTAACGATAATTATATTAAAACTTGTACGTATTCATTAACAATAGTTACAATAAATTAAAATTTTTGTCACTGTTAATTTAACCTAAAAACACACAACACATTTTTTCAAATGTATCCGGTTTTAATCTGTCATTATAAAGAATTGTGAAACAATAATAGCAAAATATAATAATTGCCCGAAACTGTAATTTTTATTACCTTACTCGCAGAATTCATATTAAGAATATCGTTATTGTTATTGTTATTCTCGATTATGACTTATGACCGTAACGTTTTAAAGGTTACGATAGGAGCGACAATATTCGTATATTGTTGACACTATCTCGAATTTTGATTTAAATCGGTGTAGATCACAAGTAACGTCGATAATTTACTTATTGTCGATAAGTACATAGTAATTTCATCAACTGATGATAATTACGTGATACTATTTTTCTTTTAAATAATAATAATAATAATAATATCGATAAAAATTTACATTTTCAAAAATTGAGTAAATATCAGAAAAAATATAATAAAGTAAAACTGCTAAAAAATTATACTAATTAGGATCTCTTACCAAACTACATGGTTAACTTTCAACTGAGATTAACTTAAAATAAGTATTATACAACTTATTTTAAGTTAAACCTCAGTTAAAAATTAATCATGAATTGTGAAACTAGACCTAATAAATGCGCCCCATGTAACTGTCGGTTAATTTAACCGAGATTAGTAAAAGAGATCCTTAGAATTAAAAAATTATACATAATTTAACTCTTTGGCCCGATTTCACAATATATGGTTACCTAAAAATTAAAGATAATCAAGAAATTCGTGAATAAATTTCATTGATAAATCTGTTGGTAATCTTTAATCTTTAGGTAACCATATATTGTGAAAATTGACCTTTGGCCCATTTCTACCACTGTAGATTAATTATTGTAATCTCAGTTTAACTTTATCTTTATCTTTTTTTAATTCTCAGAACTAGAAAAAGATGAAGAGTTAGTTAAACCAAGATTAAAATTAAATGATATTGGTAGAATTAAACGGGCCTTCATCGGACTTCAAAAGAATAGGCTATGTTCAGCAGCTTCAACAGTTGAGTTCCAATCCAGTTCCACAACTCACGATTAACTCTTAACCAAAGTTCAACTTATTCATTGTCTCTTTTCAATTCTAGAATTGGAAAGAAATGAGAAACAAATTGAATTTCGATTAAGAATTAATCGTAGATTTGTTCGCGTCACATATTCCAACATGTTCCTACAACAAGCGTTTGAATGAGTAGGAGCTACAGGAGGAAGTAGGAGCGAACAAACCTCGTGAGTTGTGAAACTGAGTGGTCACTCATGAGTGAGTGAGCACTCATTGCTATTGATATATTATTCTAGATTTATAATACTGATTGAATGATCTAAAAGAATACACCAATAACAGCGAACGCTCATTCAACTGTTAGATTTGTTCGCGTTGCATGCTCCAACATGCTCCTGCCATAATTCCTATTCACATTAATAAGCGCATTAGAGTGAGTAGGAGCTTTAATAGGAGCATATTGGAACTTGTTGAATGCGATGCGAACAAATCTATTGAGTTTGCGCCCATTGTTTCGATTTTCTTTGTATGTGTTAAGTGATAAATTAATTCTTGCCCCGGCCAATCATCCACTTCAACGCCAAAAAAGAATATTCGCAGATCTAAGACCTTGCTTTGCATTTGATGAGACCAGGAGATGCTGTATTACGAGCTATTGCGTCCAAATAAAACCGTTACAGCTGATCACTACCTACGGCAATTATACCAACTGAGTAACAAGTTGATGCAAAAAAGATCAGCCAACAATTGTAAAGTCATTTTGTTGGATGGTAACGCTCGATTGTTGTGAAAAGTGTGAAGCAAACACTTCTAGACCTTGAATGAGAAGTTCTCCCGCATCCAGCGTACTCTCCACACTTGGCATCGTCTGATTATCATCTCTTCCAATCGATGCAAAAAGCACTTATGAACACACACTTCTCCAGTTACGAAGAAGTAAAAAAATAGATAGATGAATGGTTCACCTCGAAAGACACCGTTCTATCATCATACGATTACCCTGTTGTCAGAGGGAAAAAATAATAGAAAATGGAGGCCATTACTTTGATTAAGGTATTCATTCATCTTTCTTTTGAAACAAAACAATTTTCAAGACGAAAAAACAGCAGGAATTAAGTTTACCACCTAATGAATTCTGATAGATAAATTTAAAGTAAAAAATAAGTAAAGTATTGGGAGCACAAATTAGTTCGATCCGTTTTTTTGTGTTCAAAAAATGCATTTATTTCAAAACAAAATGAATGAACAGATCAATTAAAATATTGTCCATCGCTGCCTACTACTTTTTCCCATCTCTCAGGCAATTTTCGAATTCCATCTCGAAAAAATGACTCGTCTTTGGAGGCGATTTTAGAGCCAATTTTAGAGCCAATTTTCGATTTCTGCGAAAGAAGTGAACCGGTAACTTGCTGCATCCTTCGGAACAACCAGTAATCAGAAGGAGCAATGTCCGGAGAATACGGCGGGTGCGGTCCCATTTGAGCGTTTTCAAATATTTTTTTACGACTTTCTACGACTTTTTTAGTGACATGAGGCCAAGCATTGAAGAAGAATAACTTTATCATGTCTTTGCGTATTCCGGCCGTTTTTCTCGAAATGTATGACTCAAATGAATCAATTGTAGCCAATACCAATCGCCCGTAATGGAATCATCAGGTTTCAGCAGCTCGTAAACAAGATCCTATTGGTCCCATCAGATACAGAGCATAATCTTCGAATCATGAATGTTCGGCCGTGGTGTTGATGTTGAGGTCAATGACAATCGGCTTAGCGTAGTATTTTTTCTTCTTGGAGTCGTAGAATATCCACTTCTCATCTCCAGTCACAATCCGATGCAAAAAACCTTTTCTCTGTTATTTTTGAATCAGCTGTCCGCAAGTGAAAAATCATTTTTCAATGTCTCTCGGTTTCAGTTCATAAGGCATCCAATTTGCTTGTTTTTGAATCATTCCCATGGCTCTCAATCGTACAGAAATGGCTTGTTGAGTTATCCCCAATGATTCTGCAAGTTCCTCTTGCAGAATTTGACTCTGATCTTCTTCGAGTAATGCCTCTAATTCTTTGTCTTCGAATTTTTTTGGCTGTCCAGAGCGAGGCTTGTCTTCAACTGAAATCTCCATCTTTGAAACGTCGAAACCATTCCCTACATGATTTATCAGTTGGAGCAGTGTCACCATAAACTTCGACAAGCATTCGATGGGCTTCAGCCGCACTTTTCTTCCAATTAAAGCAGAAAATCAAAATCTCCCGCAAATGCTGCTTAGTTAACACAAAATTCGACATTTCACAGTAAAAATCAAGATTTTTGTATGAAACTCAAAGCGATATAAATTGAATATTATTAGCAAATGTTCTCTCTGAAATCGTCAAAATCAGCTGTCACTATGAACCATTCACAAGCTGGAGCCATCTTTAGGGAAACGGACCGAATTAATTTGTACTCCTAATATAATATATTCTAACTTCTATGTATATATATATATGATAGTAAAAATTTGTTGTTTTTCACAAAAAAATCTTTTATATTAAAAATTTTATACCGTCCGAAACAATATAAAAATCTGCAATAAAGTTGCGAACAAAGAATAAAAAATTCTCACTCCCCTGATTGAATAGAGAATTAAATCCAAAGATTTAAATTATGAAAATATAAATTCTCAAAAATAAACAAAATATGAGAGGAATGTAATGTAAGGAGAATATCACATAAAACGTATCGTCGATCAAAATTTATACGTGTTTAAATTTCGTATATGAATTCGAATTATAAGATTATAAGAATTTAAATTAAAATCTAGATCAGTTAGATGAGCTATAATTAGGTATACTAAATAATATTTATTAATCACAAATTTTATTATAATTTTCCGACGATAAGTTTCAACGATACGTTTCGACTATACTTAATCTTCATCAGCCGCAAAATACATACAATAAATATCCAAATATCTAATTATATTAACATATTATAAGGATCATCTTACGTTCGAGTTATAATAGATAATATAACAGATCGATATCCTTTATTAATTATCAAATTTGACAACATATGATATGATTGCGATATATCATCCTTTATATAATAATATGAAGGTGAGATGATTTTTAGAAATCTGTTATATTATCTATTGTAACTCAAATGTGGAATGATCCTAATATGTTAATATAATTACATATTTGGATATTTATGTATTTTATGACTGATGAGGACTAAGTATAGTCGAAACGTATCGTTGAAACTTATCGTCAGAAAATTATAATTTGTGATTAATAAATATTATTTAATACACTTAACCATAGCTCGTTTAATATATTGATCTGGATTTTATTATTTATTAATTTGTTGTAAGTTATACAAGCGAAAAGAATTGATATTATTTATATTGTAATAAAGAATTTAAATGTTCAAAAATAAACAAAGCATTAAGAAGAAAATAATCAGCTAAAAGATGACACACGTGAACACCTCATGCGTTTAAAATTTAAAGAGCTTTATTTATTACAAATTGCCTATCGTTATCTACACTTGAATGAGGAAAATTATTACTGCTATGTCAATACAAAACATATACATATACAGATACATGAATATTTAGATACGCATGGCGTACAATTGCAATTGATATACAACGTTGAATATATTTTATGTACTAATTTATGATTTTGCATGTATAATACGTAACGCATTTGCTGATCTTTTACGATTCTTGTTTCCTTTCATAAATTAAAAGCATGCGTCCCCATTCGTTGCCTGCAGTAACAGTGACTCTTTGAAAGTCACACAGTCTCCTCAAAATATCTTCTATGTGCTTCATCGGATTCCTGGTGTATTTCAGTTCCTTCAGCAGCGGAAAGTCCCCCAATTTCGCTCTTCGCAGTCGTCTCGAAGCGTTTTTGTAACATCTCCAAGGCTGCGGCTCGACAATGATCATTTCCGCCAGCTCGCAGACCTTTCGCAGAAACTCCTCCAGACCGTCATCGCCATGATTCAGGTGAATCCACATAGTGATCGAGAAACAGAACACCACGTCGAATCGCGTTTTATTAAGCTGCGTCAGATACCATCTTAGCATCTCGCCGCAATCCTCAGACAAAAAATCCAGACACTCGAAGGTCACGCGATCCGGGCGCGGATTGCGCTCGCGCGCTTTCTCGATCAGGATCGGGTCGAGATCTACGCCGATTAAGGAGATCTCTGGCTGATCTTGCGACATAGCCTCCTCGAGGAAGTCTTGTAGAATGTATGTGAGATCCTGCAAAACACGTCATATAACTAAGCGAAAATTTAAATATGTAAGATTTACATGTGCATATATCCTTTTAACTACAGAAACAAAACCTTGGATGAAAAAAGTTTATTTTACATTTTCGATTTTTTTTATATATAAAGAATTATCTTTTGTCTCTGTATATATATATATATA